TGATCCACTATGACAACGATATCAGCCCGGCTTTCCACTACTACGAGTGTGTGGGCACCGGCCTAAACATTTCTCAGATCACTGGTAGCACTCATTCCAGACTCATTCAATGCTTGACTTCACGTGTCCCTTCCTTAGGATTTCACGACGACCTAGCTAAATATCAGCACTCAAGCAACACGTCTGGAGAACACGATTCGCCTGGAAACAGGCCTCCTCCAGACACCCCGGGTGCTTCGTCGCCGAGTGAAGGCCGTCTGTCGACAATCTATGAGGAAAATGAGGAACATAATATCGAAGCCATGATGCTGGAAGAATGGTACGACGAACTACGTATGGACCTTCATCCTACGACGACTACCGACGATTATCTTTACTGCGTCCCAACAACCATGCTGCCTGACCAATGTGTTTTGGTTTCAGCATCTGTGGACGAAAAAGATACCATATCATCGGACACGCTCGGAGACGAGCCTGAACCACGAGAGTCCTGTATAGTCTCTCTCTGCTCAACCACACCTGACGAGAGCTACTCTCTTGATAGTGATGAATATGGTCCTTACGTTGATTTGTGTTTTACATCAGAAATGTCAAAAATAGTGTTAGATCCGACTCAACTTGCACAGCTCGACACCGATATGGTCGCAACGATGAGAGTATATGTGTCCTCTGCTGCTAAACGTGCTGTGGTCGTTAAAGAAGATGATCTACTGACCAAAACCGACATAGCAGCACACCCAAAGGAGGTTAGTGAAGCTTTGTATACTGAGCTCAAAATCTGGATTGACAACCGATGCTTCGAGATGTATGATCTATCCAAAGCTTCCAACATCATGACATCCAGGTATGTATACAAGTGGAAGTTTGTAAAGGTGGGTACCGAGAACGTGAAAACCATTCGTCTCAGACTTGTCCTTCGCGGATTTATGGATACTGAGGCTTTCGATGTGAAAACATTCTCGGGAACCGCCCGAAGGCAGTCCCAAAGACTCCTGGCAAGTGAGGCGGCATGTCATCCAGAGTGGATCTTAGCATCCATGGATATCGACAAGGCGTTCCTCAAGGGTTTGACCTATGAGGAACTTGCCCATGCCACGAGCGAGGAAACTCGCATGGTCTGCTTCGCTCTTCCACCGGGAAGTGCCCAGGTACTTCGTACACTACCCGGCTTCTCATCCTATGACGAAAGCCGACGCTGCCTCAGATGCCTCAAACCAGGAACGGGTACAAAGGATGCTCCAAGAGCGTTCTCTCTCAAACTTCGTACGACCACACGAGCTATGGGTCTTACACCGACCAGTTATGACCCTGAATTTGAATTCAGCCAAGATCTGCTAACGGCAAAACATGTCGATGATATTAACATGACTGGCTTAGAGAAAAATATAGACGACTATGTCCAGCGTGTCGAAAAGGTGTTTGGCAAATGCAAGCTAAACAAACACACATATACAAACTGCGCCGTTCGCTACACTAAGAATGATCAAGGGGATGTGACTATGGATCAGGACGAGTATATCAAACAACTACGTCCTATCACACGCCCAGAACTTACAGGAGCGGCGGCCGATGCCAAAGCCACGAAACTCATTACCGACATGTTCGTCAGCTTGCGAGGAGCCCTCGCCTATGCCCTTCTTACTCAAATCTGGCTTATGGTATACGTGGTCTCTCTCCAGAAAATCCAAGAGCCCACCAATCTGCAAGTCCGACGCTTGAATGCTGTGACGCGAAAGCTGATCAGCAGCCCGAAACGCATCACCTTCCCTCGGATGAAGCCGACGAATGAAGTTGACATCCACAGCGATTCGGGGTATCGGAAGCTTACCGGGGAGGAGGATGATGATGAGACTAAGGGCTACGGCATACGCGGGGCGAATGTACTACGGCGAGGAAGCTCGCCCCAAGGCAAGTCCGTCGTTCACCTCTGCGACGGACTATGCAAATCACACCGACTGCAGGTGAGGTCCAGCTATGCTGCGGAGGCACTCGCAGCGGCGCATAACCTCGATGAGTGTTACCCTACGCTCATCACTCTCCACGAACTCAAGGCAGGAGCTCTGACTCCACGACAACTACGAGATATGCGTGAAGTTGGAGGCTTAGCCATCAAAGTATCTCTTACCATAGACGCTGAGTCCGTTTATAAATCATTATCAAGCAAAGATCTTAAGATACCGACAGAACGGACTCTGCTTGGACACATCAGTTGGATACGTGAGCTCATGGATATAGGTATAGTACATAACGTGCAGTGGTGTGATACTAGGGATATGACCGCAGACGGGCATACAAAGGGAAGCATCGATCGGGAGCTGCTTCTGGAAGTGATGTCAGGCACTCAGTCATTCAAGTATGACGTGAAGCAGTTTGTTCCCTTTCGGGGTCCCGAGGACAGAGACAAACCCAAGTCTAATCAATTTTAGTCTGTCCTTGTTGCCCCCGCGGTCCAATTTGCCAGCATGGGCGCCTACTATAGAGGCGCCCTTCTAGTTGCTCGGAAACGAGCCTCACATTTCACGCCTGGCAACGAGCCGGCTTTGTATGACTCAGGCTCTTTGCCTTAATACTTATTTGCTCGGTGAGGTATGGCCTGTTTGGCTTGCCTCTGACTGAGCCGATAGCCCTTCATCGTTCGAAGGGGCTATCTTGTAGTTGCGTGAAATGCCTTGCGAGGAAACTCGCCTTACAGTCTGGTGTTAGGCCAGACTGTACGCACTGTTTTCTTTCTTGCAAACAGTCGTGCGCGCGGCCTTTGAAGAGCCTAACGGCTGCGCGGCTATGCTCTCCGTCTCCTCCCCTCCCGACTTTAAGGGTAGCTCTTTGGGAGATGTTATAGTATCGGGAGCATAGCTCGCGCGCCGTTGCCTTTGGCTCAAGGCACGCGCGCCCTATTTGCCCGGACACCGCGAGTGTTCGCTATGTGCTGGAAAGACCGATACATCGATCTTATCCTATCTTATCCGCCTATTCCCCATACTGAACCACCGCAGCAGAGGAATGGACGCTATTTGCCATCCGCTTCCCATGGAATCGGATGCTATTTGAGTTACCAGGCTCACTTTCGACTGGCGGCAACAAGGCGGCGGTCCCGACAAACGAGCTCATATCCGTCGAAAACAGGTAAGAACCCCTAAGTGCAAACATTGTTTAGGGAACAAGTGCGAACCCTTAACTGCAAGCGCTGCTTGGTGAACAGCATTGAACCCGTCTCCGAAGTGGAAGAAGGGGGTTGGAAGAGAGAACGCCCTAGACCACTTATGCCCTCAGGGGCTGGTGTGACATGGGGAGCGAAGGAGCGGACCCTGCTCCTTACGCCCCATGCTCCCCTTCGTCTCCTGCTGGGTGCTCGCGCGGGCGCTGGGCGCTCGTCTGGTGCCGCCATGGCTCGTGCGTGCTTCTGCTTCCAGGAACCGCCGGCGGGGTCTGTCCCAGTGCTCGGGGCCGGCCGGCGGGCGGCCTGGCGCCCATCCGCGCAGGAAAACGAAATTTTCCGCTGAGCAGTCCAACGAGCGGGACGAAAAAGGCTGCCAAGGAGGCCGCAGGGGCGGCCGCAGCCGCGGTCATCGGTGGTGATGCCTTTCTGTGTGCATTTCGTGGTCGGCGAAGGGGATCGCAGAAGTGCAAGTCGAAGCCCCGAACCCCGAACCCAAAGCTTTTTGGAAACCTTTGGCGATTGGCGAGCGAAGGAAACGTGTGCCCTGCGTTAGAGTGATGCGCTGGATAGAAGTGCAAGGCGGAGTGGGTGCGTGATGTAGCTCGCGGTGCGAACTGGTCGAATTGTGTACAGCAGCCCCTGAACCAGAAATCCTACACTTGATATTGGTAGGGTATGCCTCTGTGCATCCTCTGCCCCGTCGCGGGTCGATCTTCTATCCTGTGCCTGAATCTGACAAGACTGGGCTCTGAGTGACTGGACACTTCGAGGCACGGGCGAGGTTCTTTTCAAGCGGTCTCGCCTTCTTGTAGTCCGCTCCCAGTTGCCCGGTGGGAGTTTTTTTTTTCAAGCGTAGGTGGGCTGCTAAGCGGGGGACGGAGGGGATGTGGGGGAGGAGAAGTGGTGGTATGGACGGGGAGGGGGAGGGGGAGGGGTCAAGTGGGGGAGAGGTGCGTGGAAGGGGAGGATATTGGCTGTTCCGCGGTTCACTTATAATTCCGATTTTCTTTTCGCCCAGATTGTCTTTCGCCTTCTGTTGCTTCGCAAGATGCTCTTTTCAATTTTCAAGGTTGCAGGCGGCTGGGCGCGCGGCTTTCCCCCTGCATGTGGGCGGACGGGCGGGAGGGACCGCCCGCGGTCCGCCCGCCCGTGAATAGATCGGCCCGCCCGCTTGTCTGCCCTCGCGATGTGGGATCGCCCCGTCTACCCGCCCGTGCCGGGGCCCGCCTGCTCGCCCAAGTTTGGAGTCTGCGCGGCCGCCAACCTGCCCGTTGCAGGGAGAGCGAGCCAGGGGCGAGCTCCGAGCGGGGATGGGTGAGCGGGCGAGTGAGAATGAGGAGGGGGAAGCCATGCACCGTCAGGAGTGGCGAGCGAGAAAGCATGCTCCGATGTGTAGTGCTCAAGGTCGGGAGGAGCAGCGAATCTTCGATCCTTGGAGAAGCAACCTGCTGGGAGGAACGGGGTCCCCGCCGTCCGCAGGCCTCGCTGGGGAGACTGGCGCGCCCCAGGCCACCGCGGCACGTGCAGCGCTCTTTGCACGTCCAGCCGCCGCTGCCGCCGCCGCTGCTTCAGGCACACTCTCTGTCCCCTCGCTGACGTGGCGCGCATTGCCGCCGCCTTTGGTCCGCCTCTTCCCGTCTTCGGTGTGGCACCTCATCGAGGTAGTCATGGGCATTGGGGGCTTAGGGAAGGGAGCATTCGCCGCTGGCGTCCAAGCGATGGAGGATGCAGTGGAGGACATGCAACCAGTTGGGCACAGGTCATGGAACAACGCGGGGTGAAGGCAACCGAGCCTACCATCGGGGGTGGAATCGCATTCTAGATGCGGAACGTATGCGATGGGCACGATCCACGCGGGGGGGCAACGTTGACCTTCATTTTCTGGTGTGTTCTGCACGATTCACGCGCGCCCGTGGTCGCAGTCGGCGCCGCCGCCGCTGCTGCTTCCTCGCTCGAGCTTGCCGCTGCTGTTGCTGCTGCCTTCCTGCTTCTGCTACCGCCCCCTCCTCGGTGGCAGTGGCTGCACACCCCGTGGCATCGCGTCGCATCTCCATGACCTCTTGGAGCCCATCGCTGCGAGGGCCTCTTCGACGGCCGTTTCCGATCAAGCCTCCGAAGCGCCCGCCCGCACCTCCGGGGACCGCTGCTCCGAAGACACCAGCCAGGAGAAGCCAGAAGCCATGGCCCTCCGGTCCAAGGCGCTCCCGGCGGCCGCCGTGGTGTCCCTGTGCCTCCTGGCGCTGCGCGGCCTGGTCGCCCCTGGCCACGGCCAGGCCTTCGTCGCGCCGCAGGGCGGCGCCTCGCAGTCGGTGCACCGCCAGTGCAGGCAGGTGGCCGGCCGCAGCTCCTTCTCGCTCGCCCTTGGTCAGGCCGCGGCCATCGTGAGCGGCGTCCCAGCGCGCCCGGGCGTCGCAGCGCACTTCAAGGTGACCCTGGAGACCCCAGACGGCACCCAGGAGTTCGAGTGCCCCGAGGACCAGGGGGCTCGTTGGGAGGGGGGGTAAGGGGGCGCGGGGACTGAGTTGGGGAGTGGGGGTGCAGGGAGGGCGGTGTTGTCGTACCCGCCCCCCCCTCTCTCGGCAAACAGCGACGACGACCGACGACGACGGTGTCGTCGCGTCGTCGTCGTCGTCGGCGGCGGCGGCGGCGTCGTCGTCGTCGTCGTTTGCCGTTGCGAGGGAGGAGGTTTGTCGCACCCCCGCTCCCCCTCTGCACTGGGTGGGTTGGCGCGGGCTTCGTAACCTTCCAATTTCGGAACCCCACTGCACATTTTTTTAGCCAAGCGCTTATATTAGTAAGCATATTCCCAGCCTTCCCAAAGAGACTTGAGACCCTGGACAGCAAAATACAACACGAATGGAATCGCGGATTCACTGTTGGCAGCTTCAACCGTCAGGGTAGAGCAAAGCGATACATTCATGAGAAAGTTAACATCTACAAGCACGCGGTGTTTCGCCAAGGACGTGCAAGGTAATCGTTAACAACATCACACGTATCATATATCACCTTTCTTGAGAACACTCGCAAGGACGTGTACATTCTGGACCAGGCGGAGGAGGAGGGCCTGGAGCTTCCATACTCCTGCCGTGCTGGCTCTTGCTCCAGCTGCGCAGGCAAGGTTCTCTCTGGAGAGATTGACCAGTCGGACCAGGCCTTCCTCGACGAAGACCAGACGGGGGAGGGCTTCTGCCTGACGTGTGTCATCAGAGACGCCTCCGGCCAATCACCGCCGCCCCCTGCCTTCTGGGAACTTCCTCTGTGGTCTGTGGACGGTCTGCGCGATATTTTTTGTCAGACCTGCGATTCCCCGAATGTTGCCGGAACGAGTTGGGCAGAGTTATGGAAGGACCAGGTCTACAATTTTACGATTCCCTGGGTGATATTCGGGGGCATGTTTGGCTGGCGTGGAACTCGCTGGTGGACATGCCAAGCTCAGCTGCAGCGTTCGGGCAGATGCACAACAGGTGGTGTCTTTGACGCACACTCATCTGCAAATGATACCTCGTGGACCCTGAAGGGTGGCCCTGCGAATTATAGGATGTGTCATGTGCAGGATGTGATCTATGGGACCCTGTCTTGTGGTAACCCTATCGTCTGGGGCCTTGTCTTGCGATCCTATCGTGTGGGTCCCTGTCGTGTGGGTCCCTATCGTGTGGGTCTACCATGTGGGACCCTACGCCGCGGAACCCTGTTAAGTGATTCTCTGTGGTATGTGACTGAATCATGTGGGACCCTTTCGAAGACGCCTGCGGCGAGTCACCACCGTCCCCTGTCTTTATGGGAATGCCGACGTGGCCAAACGTTGGGCCAGAGCTTTGCCAAGCTATTGGACTATGTGCTTCCCTACCCGTTGTGGACCCCCTCCGTAGATTTTTGCGGGGGGACAAAGGGAAGAGGGGGAGAGGGGAGATAAGAAGGAGGAGGAAGAAGAGGAGGGTGAATATGATGATGATGATGATGATGCTGATGATGGTGGTGGTGATGATGGTGGCGGTGATGGTGATGATGTTGATGACGATGACGATGACGATGACGATGACGATGACGATGATGATGATGATGCTGATGATGCTGCTGATGATGATGATAGTGGCGATGACGACGACGAGACGACGATGACGATGCTGATGATGATGAGAATGAGCATACTGATGATGCTGATGATGAGGATGCTGGTCTGATGATAAGATTTTGACCGATGTTTGGTGATTGATGAGGGATGATGATCTTGATGAAGATGAAGATGAAGATGAAGATGAAGATGAAGATGAAGATGAAGATGCTGATGATGATGATGATGATGATGATGATGATGATGATGATGATGATGATGATGATGATGATGATGATGATGATGATGATGATGATTGTGATGGTGATGGTGATGGTGATGTTGCTGCTGCTGCTGATGATGATGATGGTGATAATGTGTGTGAGGCCAGCTCATATCACCATTCTATCATTACATACCGCTAACGTATCGGCTCAGGTGTTGGTATAACATACCGCGCTGCCTTCATCGCAGCGCCTTGGACAAAGGACTCGCGACCCTCTTCCTTCCTTACCTCTGCCTACGGGATCTTGTGTAGGCTCGAGTCTTTGGTCGTTCTTCTACACAAGTTACCCGCCTGTTATTTTACGCTCTATGTTGCCGCGCTACGCTTTGTCTTTGACTCCGCCGCTTGGTCCTGAACCCTTCGGGGAACAGTGCTCTATGCGTGCAGAGTCTTCGACGGAGCGTGGGCGTAGCGACCACGCGGAGAGGGCGAGAGAATCCGTGTTTCCCCCTTTTCCCCCCTTTCAGGTGACGGCAGCTCTGCGTCGCTTGCAGCCGCCCTCGGCGAGCTCATTCCAGACTCACCACCACCGCCGCCCGCTCGCGCGCGCTCCTGCTCACGCGCCTGGGACCTCACATCAAGCTCGGGCGCCTGAAACGTCCAACGCGTTTCCTAGCGCCGCCTTTTTTTGTTCCTTTGCGCTGGTGGAAGGACCAGCAGTAGGCTTCGGAGTCACCGCTGGATTGGCGTCGCCTCCATCTTCTTCGCCAATTTCCGCTGGTGGACACACCCGCAGCGGCTGCGCCAGAGAAGCGTCGCCTGAGAACGCTTTCGCGCGCCCCCGCCGTTGGGCTCAAGTCATGTCCCCCGCAATTGCTTCCGTCTCTGAACGCGTGCGTGTCCTGTAGGATCGCGCGGGGTGGGCGTTTCAGCGAAGGGCTCCATAGCGGTATCACATTCAATCTCCCAGGAGGGGCACTAGCCGCAGCCCTTCTCAGAGGCGTTCCCGGCAAAGCTCTCTGCGACGCGATTTTACATCGCGTGCATCGCCCTCGGGTCCTGTTGCGCCGACAGCAACTCTAAGGCAGGAGCTGCACCGCGCCCTTGCCTTGGTCGACGCTCGGGCCGCTGAAGACCGATCGATCCTCACCCAGGTCCAGTGCCAAGTCGACCGAATGGAGTCACACCGAGGTTCCGACGCCACTACAATTCAGGCGCTCCACGACTACCTTCTCCGAGTGGGGGCCCAGCTCGTGAGCGTCAGGGACGCGGGCGCTGCCGCCGCCTGGACACTACGCGATGAGCTCGTGACAGTGCGGCAGCTTCCAGCTATGGAGGTGAACGGACCTACGGATCAACGCCTCCGCGAGGACGTCAATGCGCCTCGTACTCAGGTTGAGGTGACTACTGCTGACCTACGCGCCCGAAGTACCACGCGCGTCTGAATTGCGCGGCAAGCTGCGTAGTGCTGAGATGGCCATCGCTTAACGTCTAGATGTTACCGAGGGACGTGCGCCAAGGCTTGAGAACCGAGTCTCCACGGTCGAGCATCAGCTACCTGAAATACAGGCCGCGCTGGCTGTGTTGCGCGCTGTGCGGGCCCAGACCGATCTGCTTGGCGTGCTGACGTCGATTTGCGCTTTCACCTCCCTCGAAGCCCGACTGGCGGAGGCGTGGGCGGCGGTGGGCCGCGCGCAGATGCGATTCGCCGAGATCTCCCAAACTAGAGGCGCTGATGAGGCGCGGGCCGAAGATGCACTCGCCCGGTTGGAGCAGGAGCGAAACGCGCACCAACGACGAATCCAGGACTTAGAGCATCGGCTGGACTGGTGCTCCCAGCGAACCCACGACACTAACGTTGAGATGCGTGGGCGACAGCAGAATGTTCAGAATGTGCGGGCCGACGTCGCGACCACCGGAGCTACCCTGGCGGCCCGCGTGAGCGACCATCAGATCTACCATCCGACCCCGCCTCCTAAACATCGCGCCGACCATGCCCCAACTCGCGACATTCGCGCTGGACGCGCGACGTACGTCACTGGGCGCCGCCTCTGCAGCGGCTCCCACTCAGGCGCGCCGCGTCTCTCCCGCGCGGAGCTCCACCGGTTCCATCGCAGACACTGTCGCACTTTTGTCTTGATCAAGGAATCAGATTTTGTACGCGTTCCACAACTACCACGTTTTACTCAGCTACAAGAGTGGCAACATATGGTCTGGAGCAACTTGTCCAGCGCCTCTGGGGGATCTGCCAAGGCTTGCGCATTTCTTTGCGTTGCAGAAGAACCGACCATTACTTTTGAGGGCCTCCAGGACAGCGGCGACTTCGAGAGCGTCGATTGCAAACTTGCTGCCGGGTTCGCGGCAGCCCTCAATGCTGCGCTACAGTGCCGCATCAAGAACCTCGCAACTCAGGGGCGCAGAGCGGGCTGCATGGTGAAGGGTGGACGCATATATATATATATATATAGGATTATATTACAACCCGTCAAAGCCACCGAGGTCGCCGACGTGATGCGCGACGAACGTTTACAATTTATTCGCATGCGGGGCGACGACTTACGACGTTTCATCGTGGACTGGGGTAATCTATTCTTGGAGTGCCGCGAACCGCCGGATGCGAAAATATTCCGCTTTTTGCCCCGAGCACAGATCCGCAGATATCAGAGGATGAAGCGGGACTCGCACGATTTCAACCAGATGAAACGCGACGACCCCGATCGCACATGCGAGTGGCTCCGCGATCGTGTCCTAGCCATCCATGAATTGCGCCGACTCGAACGCAACCAGCGCAACCTCGAGAACGAGTCAGCGCGACGTGATGCTGTCGTCTGTGCGGCGTTCAAGCCTGAGCGTTGTCAGAACGGGGAACGGTGCAAGATGCTGCGCGCGGGCTCCAACAGCCGTTCCGCGCAGCGACCTCCGCGGCGACGCCCTACCTCTGGCAGAGACGCCCGCGAAAGGCGACTTTCCACCGGCCGAGCCTCCGGGCCGCCGCCAACGGACAAGGTCAAACATAGCTTCTGCTCTGCCTTCGCGAAACGCGGCTCTTGCCCGCGACGAGATCGTTGCAAATGCCCGCGCGTCGCCAAATGCAGCTTCCAGGTAGGCCCGAAGCTGCGCGGCAAGCGTGGCGGCGCCAGCCGGTTCGCGCGCCTTGACCCGGGCGCGGCGACTCCTCGGCGGGGCCCCAGTCGGACATGTAGCCAATGCAGCCGTCACAGGGCGCCGTCCCCGCGACGTGGGGGGGCGCAGATCCCCCCCCTTGCACGGGTCGGCGGGGCCCCGAAATCCGGGGGGCACGCGCTGGTCACGCCGAGGTGCGCCGTCTCCTGGGCGCGGGGCGCAACTGGGCTCGCGTGGTCCGGGGGGTCGCGGATGGTCATCCCGCCCCCCTCGTCGCTGAATTCCAACCGTGACCATCATTGCGGGCGCTCCCCCGCTGGAGCGAGAGAAACGGAGGCCGATCCGCATCTCGCGACTCCAGTCGATCGCCGTGTACCCGCGATAGGAACCGCTCTCCTACAGCGACGCGATTCAATAGACAACGTGATCGGGCATGCGCGACCCGCGAGCGGCTCCTTTTCATAAACGACCCACTTTCACGGCGACTATGTTTTGACCTCGACTGCACAGGAACCCTGGATCAATCGAGGTGACCATGTGGATGTGCCTGACACGTTGCCTGATTGGTGGCTGGAGACATGCGCGCGAGCGCTGCGCGGCTGCCGGACCGACTCTCAGAGGTTGCATGATGAACTCATGCGGCCTACCAGACTTCCCGCGGTGCTTGGCCCACCGCCGACTGGCGACACTGCGTCGGTAGCAACGCCCGCGCCTCAGTCTGCAACGACAGCGCGGTCCACGTCTGCACTGTCGCGGACGTGGATCTTGGATAGCGGCTCCGCCCGCTGCGTCCAAGCTGAGGCTGAACTCCAACCGCGCGAAACTACCGGCGCTCGCCAACGACGAGAACATGTACTCGAAACAGCCAACCTTGAGAGGATCGCCATCGAGCACATCCACCTCGAGTTACCTCGCATTGGACTGTCCAGTTCGGCACTCGCACTGGACGATTGCCCATCGGCACTATATGTAGGACAACTGGTACAGGAGGGCGGCTTCAGGCTGATCTGGGATCCACAGCTTCGTTACTTACTGCAGGACCCTCGTGGTCAATGGTGCAGGGTCAATGTCAATAACCGCATCCCAGAGTTTGATTTTGGCAACCTTCAACTGGTTTCGCCGCCCCAGTTGCGTGCCGCGCTACCTGCGTCGCGAGGCTCGCGACGGGCGCGACAGAAAGACATTGGCGTATCGTTTCCCTTCGCGTATAATTATTGAGTGGATGATGCCGCTGCGCAGGTAGACGCGCCTGCATCCACGCTCCCAGCGAGCAAAGAGACGCATTGTGATTTGGCTCCGGTGGGCGCGCCTGCATCGGCGCCACCTCAGATCGATGCGACGTCTGGCGCATTTGCCCCGGTGGGCACACCCGCATCCGACGCTGCCTGGCAGACCGCGGCCACCCATCGACCCATCGCATTGCGCCGCCCACAGTCCCGAGCGCCCTGACTGTGAGATCTGCGCGCGCATCCTAATGCGCGACGCGCCGTGCCGTCGGCGACGCCGACCCAAC